GGATCAGGCCCAGCCAGCATGGGTTCATGAAAGGCAGGTCGTGCTTGACCAACCTCATCTCCTTCTACGACTGGATGACCAGACTGGTAGACAAGGGAAAGGCTGTTGATGTAGTCTACCTAGACTTCACCAAAGCCTTTGACATGGTCTCTTACAGGCTTCTTCTGGGGAAACTGGCTGCCCATGGCCTGGACAGGTGCACACTCCTTTGGGTAAGAAATTGGCTAGATGGCCGTGCCCAACGGGTGGTGGTTAATGGAGTGAAGTCCAGCTGGTGACCTGTTTCAAGTGGTGTCCCCCAGGGGTCGGTACTGGGGCCTATCTTGTTCAGTATCTTTATTGATGACCTAGATGAAGGGATTGAGTGTACCCTCAGTAAGTTTGCAGATGACACCAAGTTGGGAGGTGGTGTTGATCTGCCTGAGGGTAGGAATGCACTTCAAGGGGACTTAGATAAGCTGGATCGCTGGGCTGGGGTGAATGGAATGAGGTTCAACAAGGCCAAGTGCCAGGTCCTGCACTTTGGCCACAACAACCCCATGCAGCGTTATAGACCTGGGGACGAGTGGCTGGATGATTGTGAAGAGGAAAGGGACCTGGGGGTGTTCGTTGATGTTCAGCTGAACATGAGCCAACAATGTGCCCAGGTGGCCAAAAGGGCCAGCGCCATCCTGGCTTGTATCAGAAGTAGTGTGACCAGCAGGAAGAGGGAAGTGATTGTCCCCCTGTACTCAGCACTGGTGAGGCCACACCTCGAGTACTGTGTCCAGTTTGGACCCCTTGCTGTAAGAAACACATCAAGGCCCTGGAGCATGTTCAGAGAAGGGCAACGAAACTGGTGAGGGGTCTGGAGCACAAGTCCTATGAGGAGCGGCTGAGGGAGCTGGGATTGTTTAGTTTGGAGAAGAGGAGGCTCAGGGGAGACCTTATTGCTCTCTATAACTACCTGAAGGGAGGTTGTGGTGAAGAGGGGTTTGGCCTCTTCTCCCAGGCAACAAACAGAACCTGGGGAAATGGCCGCAAGTTGTACCAGAGGAGGTTTAGGTTAGACTTGAGGAAGAACAACTTCTCTCAGAAAGTGGTCAGGCACTGGAATGGCCTGCCAAGGGAGGTGATGGAGTCGCTGTCCCTGGCAGTGTTCAAGAGGCGTCTGGATGAGGAGCTGTGAGATAAGGTTTAGTAGCTTGTGGTAGCAGTGGTAGTGTGAATACGGTTGGACCAGATGATCTTAAAGGTCGTTTCCAACCTTGTGATTCTATGATTCTATGATTCTATGTGCCTATCCAGGGCAGAGGAGAGCAGAATGGTGTGCAGAGGCTGAGGTAAGAGGGCAGGACAGAGGGCACGGAAGGAAAGGGCTGTTCTCTGAATTCGTTGAAAGGAGTGGTTGTGATGCAACTGATTTTGTGTCCTCCTGCTTTGTCTTGTAGAGCCAGAGATCTAGAGAAGAACGTTTTGAGAATGTGCCTTTCTTTCCTACGTTGCTCTGCTGTCAAATCTTTCACCTTCCATAGAGACATCAGTTGAATTTTAAGTAAGCAAGGTTAACACCAGCCTGGCTGAAATTTGGGTGCCAGCATCTGGTAACTGCCATTGTAATGCCATGGTGATGTCACAGCATGCAGACCATTTCCAATATTTCTCTGTTACACGGGAAGTGGCAACAATTTTGGCCCACAGAGATCATACACACTGCTTCCTCCCTCTGCCATCCCAAGCAGATGTAATGAAGTGTGTTAGCAACGTCTGAGTTGAGAGGGCAGTACTGTTGACGTGACCCTGAGCAGGGAGGCAGACTTTGCTGTGAGGAAAGAAATTGTGTGTCCTCCTTCTTTGTCTTTGAGGTCCAAATGCCCAGAAGGGAGTGACCATCTCCATAATATTTGAAAAGTCGTCGCTGTCAGGAGGTCCTGGATTACTGGAGTCCCATTTACAAGAAAGGGAGCAAGGAGGACCCCGGGAACTACAGGCTGGTGAGTCTCACCTCTGTGCCTGGGAAGGTCATGGAACAGATCATCCTGGATGACATGCTTGATCACATGAGGAATGAGCGTGTGATCCGAGACAGCCAGCTTCACCAGGGGGAGGTAATGCTTAACCAATCTGGTGGCCTTCTATGATGGAGTGACAGCATTGGTGGACAAGGGGAAGGGGGACCGATGTCATTTACCTGGTCTTGAGCAAGGCCTTTGACATAGTCCCCCACCATATTCTTATCTCCAAATTAGAGGGATGTGGATTTGATGGGTGGACCACTCGATGGATAAGAAACTGGTTGAAAGACTGCAGACAGAGGGTGGTCATCAATGGCTCTATGTCCAGGTGGAGGCTGGCGAGTGGCGTCCCCCAGGGGTCTGTCTTGGGACCGGTGCTCTTTAACATCTTTATCAATGACATCGATGATGGAATCGAGTGCACCCTCAGTAAGTTTGCTGATGACACCAAGCTGAGTGGTGTGGTTGACACGGTGGAAGGAAGGGATGCCATTCAGAGGGAACTCAACAGGCTTGAAAGTGGGCCTGGGTGAACCTGATGAGGTTCAACACAGCAAAGTGCAGAGTTTTGCACTTGGGCCGGAGGAATCCCAGGCATCCATACAGACTGGAAGGAGCGGTCCTTGAAAGCAGCCCTGCAGAGAAGGACCTGGGGGTCTTGATAGATGAAAAACTTAACATGAGCCAGTGGTGTGCCCTTGCAGCTTGGAAGGCAAATGGTATCCTGGGCTCCATCAGAAGAGGGGTGGCCAGCAGGGACAGGGAGGTGATTGTTCCCCTCTACTCTGCTCTTGTGAGGCCCCATCTGGAGTACTGCGTCCAGGTCTGGAGCCCCCAGTACAAGAAAGACAAGGAGCTGTTGGACAGGGTCCAGAGGAGGGCCACAAAGATGATCAGGGGACTGGAGCACCTCCTCCACAGGGGAAGACAGGCTGAGGGAGCTGGGCTTGTTCAGCCTGGAGAAAAGAAGGGTGACCTCATTGCAGCCTTTCAATACCTAAAGGGAGCCTTCAGAGGGGAGGGGAATCAACTCTTTGAAAGGGTAGGACAAGGGGAAACAGTTTTAAGTTGAGGGAGGGAAGATTTATGTTGGATGTCAGGGGGAAGTTCTTTACTATGAGAGTGGTGAGGTGCTGGAACAGGCTGCCCAGAGAGGTTGTGGATGCCCCGTTTATCCCTGGAGGTGTTCAAGGCCAGATTGGATGGAGCCCTGGGAAGCCTGGTCTAGTATTAAATGTGGAGGTTGGTGGCCCTGCATGTGGCAGGGGGGTTGGATCCTTGAGGTCCCTTCCAACCCTGGCCATTCTGTGACTCTGTGATTCTGTGACCAGACCATGGAACCTCTTGTCTTCTGCTGATCAGCTGGAGAGATGTTCCACTTTCCACAGAGACATCAGTACAATGGTATGTAATCAAAGTATTGCCAGCCTGGCTGGACTTTTGGGCATGAGCTGCTGGCAACTATCATGGTGCCTGGTCTTGTCAGAACAGGCAGATATGTGGCAGTTCCCTTTATCACTCATGCACTGGCATCATGACCAGCATAGTGTGATCATAGAAAGAGCTTCCGTTTGCCAGCCCAGGTCATTGGAGTGTTGGTGGATGATGAATCGCTGTGATAAGAAGAGAGGAAGCACAGAGAGGGAGGGAAATATGGGGCTGGGCCCTGGGTCTGGGAAGCACGTGTGGTTGTGATGGAACGGGTTGTGCTCTCTCTGTCTTTGAAGGCTGGAGACCCTGAGGAGAACATTGCCAAAGCATGGAACCTTCTTGTTCTTAGCCATTCAGCTAGAGAGGTGTTCCACCTCATATTAAGCTAAGTCATCAAAATAACAGCAGTGCTCGTGTTACAGTAGGCAGCTAGCTGGTGGTAGCCCACGTCAGTGTTAGTTCAGTGACATGGGCCGGCCCAGAACACGTGTCCTCTGGCTGCCGGGAGACATACAGTTGATATACGTGGACTGAGGTAAGGACTGCCCATCAGAATGGAGGATTACTGCTCCTTATCTTGGTTCAGATTTTCTTGTTTTTGAAAGCCACAGGCCCCTTCTGCCCACACCCTCTTCAGCCACTCTGACTGAGATTTCTGCAGCCATCTGTGAAGGCATGAACCTAAGGACAAGGTAACACAGACCCAGACTGTACCTCACCATGGCCTCACGGACAGATGGAAACTCCCCACAGTTCTGGACAAGTGAATATCTACACCACCTGCTTTCTCAGAATAAAATCTTCTCATTCATAAATGCATTTGCTGGTTCTGCTTGTATTGTCTCTTTGAGAAAACTTATGGGCCCTTTCTTTTCCTGATTTTCTTAGTGATCTGTATTATTATAATGTTTACTCTGAGCAGCTGTTCCCTGTAGCCCATGGGCACCACAGGGAGCAGCAGGTCTGTCTGTGCAGCCATGGAGGAGCCCACTGTGCAGCAGTGGATGAGGCCTGGAGGTGACACAGCCCATGGATACAGAATCACAGAATCACCAAGGTTGGAAAAGACCTACAAGATCATCCAGTCCAACCATTCACCCATCACCAATGGTTCTCGCTAAACCATGTCCCTCAACACAACATCCAAATGTTCCTTGAACACCTCTAGGGTCAGTGACTCCACCACCTCCCTGGGCAGCCCATTCCAGTGCCTGACCCCTCTTTCAGAAAAGTAGTATTTCCTAACGTCCAGCCTGGCGTAGCTTGAAGCCATTCCCTCTAGTCCTATCACCACTTACATAAGAGAAGAGGTCGACCCCCTGCTCACTACAAGCTCTCTTCAGGTAGTTATAGAGAGCAATAAGGTCTCCCCTGAGACTCCTCCAGACAGAACAATCTCAGCTCCTTCAGCTGCTCCTCATAAGGCCTGTGCTCCAGACCCCTCACCAGCTTTGTTGCCCTTCTTTGAACACACTCCAGGGCCTCAATGTCTTTCTTGCCCAAAGAAGTCCAAAACTGGATGCAGTACTCGAGGTGTGGCCTCACCAGTGCTGAGTGCAGGGGGACAATCATTTCCCTGCTCCTGCTGGTCACATTATTTCTGACACAAGCCAGGATGGCTCTGGCCCTTTTGGCCACCTGTGCGCACTGCTGGGTCATGTTCAGTCAAGCATCAACCAACACCCCCAGGTCCATTTCCTCTACACAATCTTCCAGACACTCTGCCCCAGGCCTGTACTGTTGCCTGGGGTTGTTGTGGCCAAAATGCAGGACCCGGCATTTGGTCTTGTTGAACCTCATCCCAGTCCAGCTTCAGTCCAGATATCTAGCCTGTCCAGATCTCTCTGTAGGGCCTCTCTACCCTCAGGCAGATCAACACTTCCAGCCAACTTGGTGTCATACGAGCTGAAGGGTGGGCCCATGGGATGGAGACATGCTGGAGCAATGCTGGGAGAGCTGCAGCTTGTGGGAAACCCACACAGGATCAGGTGGGGATGGATGGCATCGCGTGGGAATCAGAACATGGCTAGCTACCAGTGCCAAATCTCAGAGATCATTGTGCGACCTATGTTTTGCCTGAGAAAAGATTTGGAACTAAAGTCAGTTAGAGTCACTATCTCTGAAAACTACTATTTATTTTAATTTAAAGCTTGTCATGTAATTACATACCTTGTTTCATCACGTATGGATTGTTTGTACGAAGTTTGTGCTTATTGAGCAATCATAAGTCAGCCATTACCTGAGCATCCCTAAGTCAAACTGAAGAGAGGTGCACACAGTGAGGCTAGGTTTCATCTCTGAAAAAAACCCTCTGCACCCCAGACAAATGGAAAATGATTTAGCAGAAAAGTAACTGGAATGTTAGAGACAAGTGAGAAGTGGTTCCTTAGAGCCCACTTGCTGCTGTTGATGGCATTCCATCATGGACAAACAGTGCATCACTGGAGCTGGAGGGAAAATATTTATACCCTGAAAGAAAAATGTGTCTATGGATCATTCACTCTGCTCAGAGACAGCACATTTCTCTCACTAAACTAAAGGGCACTGAACACCAGGGTTAATGTAGCACTGATCTTGCAATTGAGTTCCTGTCACTAAATCCCTGTACCTATGTGTGCCCTGTGAATTTCACATGGATTGGGCTGTGGGATTGGAGCCTATGGGTATAACAGAGCAAAAAAGATCAGAGAGTTATACATTTGAGTAAGCAACACAGAAGCCAGTCGGATTAACAGGAGCATTGTTTAATCAAGCATTGGAAATACACTCTGTTCCTTGGGTGGCATGGTAACATGTCGAATATGAGAGATCTGTACTGGATGAGTACTGGAGCTGATAAGGTATTGTAACACTGGATGTTACAAGAGGCACAAGGAGTAGGACAGCCCAGCCAACTTACGTAGCACAGCTCAACAAGGTCGTTGTAAACATAAACACTGCATGCTTGACTAGCACCTTAGAAACATCATTGAGATATTGGAGGTCTTCAGAAGTGGGATTGATAAGATATATTGTTGTAATCCTCACTTTCTGTGAGTAAGGGTTGTATTTCTGGAGAAGTTCCTTCTCTTTTCTTTCTGCAGGCCAGGATGAGCGCAGAGAGCACAGCAGTAACTATGCCTCCGATCACAGCTGCGCCAACCAGCCAGGGCCAGATCTGACGCGCTTGCTCGAGGTAGGGGACTAAAAAGTCCTGGAAAGAACCAAGCGCTAGAAAGGAGAAAAACAGAGGTCTTTTTACATGATGCAATGTAGTTCCAGTGTATACAGATTGTGTAACAGATAATACTCGAAGGCTCAGAGTGATAAATGATTATTAAAGGGAAGAAAATCATCTGAAGGTTACAAATAATTCTAAGCAAATTCCATCAGTCCTTAAAGTTTCCCCATTTTTGTGTTGAAATTGGCAGGAATTGAGTTTAATATTTCCAGTGCTATTTATGGTTTTGTGAAAACTGTAAGAATAGAAAGCAAGAATCATTGAATCACTGAATAGTTTGAGTTGAAAGACGCTCTTAAAGCCCATCTAGTCCAATTCCCCTGCAACGAACAGGGACACCTACAGCTCCATCAGGTGCTCAGATCCCCATCCAGCATGACCTCGGGTGTCTCCAGGGATGGGACATCTACCATCTCTCAGGGCAACATGTTCCAGTACCTCAAAACCCATACTGTAAAAAACTATTGTCTTATATCCAGTTTAAATCTCTCCTCTTTTAGTTTGAAAGCATTTCTCCTTGTCCTATCACAACAGACCCTTCTAAAGGGCTTGTCAGATCTCGTACAGCATGGGCAAAGATCCTGCTAGGTCAGCATCCTGTTGGCAACGGTAACCGAGGCTGAGTACAAGGAGGAGTTTAAGAACAGATTAAACCTATTACAATCCTTTCATGAAGTGATACTCAGCCTTCAGTAACTTTGTACACCCCCCAGAAATTATAAATATTTTTCTACCATCTTCCTTTTTCTACCGCCTTCCAGTTTCAGTGGTGCCCATAGACATAATCCCATGTATCTTCTTGGTGCTTTTGAACACATGATGTTTAGTAACTGTGCTATGAAAATATTATTTTAGTTTGTAGAACCATTAAAGCTGAACTATACTCAGCATTTGATGACTCAGTCAAATTCTTAGATATATTTCAATTTAAGCTGAGTTTAGGCAGAACACAGTTGGTCTATCCTTTCAACTCAGCTTCACTTTGGGGAACACTTTTGGTGTTACTTCTCAAGTCCATACTTTCCTTTGAATCCCACTTTGTATTCTGAGATCAGATTTGTAAGAGTATGCATGTTCAGACTTCTGACCCAATTAGACATATATACATGCCATATAACACAAAGAATTAAAAAATAAAAAAAAGGTTCGTGATGGTTCAGAATGAACTCCACAAACCTCTGTGTATGACATACAGTTTCTCTTTAATCCCTCAATTCTGGTCTGTCCAACAAGGAGGGACAGTACTATTCACAGAATCCTCCATATTGTGAATACAAGTCAATATTTTCTGCAGAACACAGCTGCTATGGTGACTGACAACAAATTGTTAAAGGACACATTTTCAAGATAACATTTTAAGAGTGTGCAGTTAATCTTACATTAGGCTACATACTGCTCTAACTGAGAAAAAGACAACCAACAGCAAAAATGTTTGGGCATCCGTTTTTAGCAAATTCTGGCTAGGCTGTGAGTGAGGTGGGGAACTAGGGAGAAAGTAGTGTGTAATGCATACATATAGGGCTGGAGGGTGAGTTTTCACTTTAAAAGCACGACTTCAATTCTGATAGTTCCTAACTTTGTGTGCTTTACTCCATAATCCCAGTGTTTTTTAATACAACTCTTTAATGTTCATACTGCAAACAAGACCAAATTAGAAATAATTTGGCTATTCATACTGGAGGATGCATATCCAGAAGAAGCTTATACATAACAGATATGGTTTTTGTGATAAGGAAAAAAGGAAAATATCACAAAATTCCCCACCTAGCTGAAATCATCTGTGATATAGATTTCCGTGTGGCTTCCTATACCTGTATGTCGCCTTTCAACAAAATCATAGAATGGCTTGGGTTGGAAGGGACCTCAAGGATAATGAAGCTCCAAACTCCTGTCACAGGCAGGGCCACCAACCTCCACATTTAATACTAGACCAGCTGCCCAGAGTGCCATCCAACCTGGCCTTGAACACCTTCAGGGATGAATGGGGCACCCACAACCTCTCTGGGCAGCCTGTTCCAGCACCTCACCACTCTCTCTGTAAAGAACTTCCCCCTGACATCCAACCTAAATCTTCCTTTCTTCAACATAAAACCATTTCCCCTTGTCCTGTTATCTACACTTTCAAAGAGTTGACTCCCTGCTTGTAGGCTCCCTTTAAGTACTGGAAGGCTGCAATGAGGTCACCCCGCAGCCTTATTTTCTCCAGGCTGAACAAGCCCAGCTCTCTCAGCCTTCGCAGGGGAGGTGTTCCAGCCCTCTGATCATCTTTGTGAAACAGAAACAACAGTCTTTCTCTCCCATAAGTATTATTTAGAAACCTAAGCTATCTTCTCCCTGGTTAAACACAGCATGACTTTGAGATGAAGAAATGTCACCTCTCATAGCATTAGAAACTAATGTATTTTCTTAAATGCCAATAGTCAGTTAAACATGCCTTCCTCCAGCATTCAGCCTCAGTCTGTACAGTTTCTGTAACTAGCTCAAAGCCAACAGCTTCTCTTGACATCCACTACCTGTCTCCTACTACTTTTGCTGCACAAAAGATGCTTGGGTTCTCTATCATAAAGTTGTTATGTTAACTCTTGAGTGTCAGAGCATGGAGCAACCCAAGGCACCCTGCAACCTGTGCATGTGACACAACCATAAACGTGGCACTGTCCTGGCTGCCCACCAGAAATCCTGCTAAGTGGCATTTCAGGGAGTCCATTACCATAAAGCTTTAATCTCTCTAACTGTGAAAGACCCAAAAGTGCTGTGACTGTATTTGCTGACAACTACCTGGGAAAAGTGTCGGGGGGGGGACGGGACAAAAGCAATGGGAGATATTAGCCAATGCCAACTCCATTCCTTTTGTGTTGCTGTTTGGAGTTAAAAGATAATCATCCCAGGAAGGTGCCATGAACATCAGTTAAAGCTATCCTTTAGTTTCATGACAAAGCCAGAGGATGGAAAGTTGTGCCGATGCATGATGCATGACTTCCATGAAAGACTAATAGCAGCAATATCGCTTCAGTTTGCTCTTTCTGATACGAAAAATTCTTATTCTTCCAAATCTTTTTTGTGGATAGTAACAAATGCTCATTTTCAGTAAGCTACGCTAACTGTGGTGGTTTTGCAGCTCACGGTACTCGTGTCAAGCAAAGTTGGGTGTTTGCTTCAGCTTTTGCTGAAATCAGCCCCCCACAAAGCAGATTCTGACATGTGTTTTTGATTCCTGAGGGATGGATTTCCATCTACACTGTGACCACATCTGCTTCAAGGCTTTCATACATACAAAAATAAATGAAGCTGCAATTAAAATACACATATACTCTCACACTTTGATTTGCATTTCAGTGGAAAGGAGGGCTCCAGGCAGGAGATTTTCCACATGGGAAGACAAACAATATAATTTAGCATTAAAATGCCATTTTGTCATTGGTCCCAAGTTTTTTCTTGTAACTAGTTCAGTCTTGCTCTGTGTAGTCCTACTTGTTCTCTACTAAATTGCTCTCCAGCGGCTTTCTTTAGATGTTTTGTTGTGCTGGTCACTTACTCTGCCCTGTTCCCATTCCTCTGTTTTTTCCTCTTTCTCCTCATTTGGAGGATCTGCTACCTTTTACTGACTACACAGATTTTCATTGCTAATAATCTTTTTTCCTTTCTAATTTTTTCCTGTCTGTCTAGTAACTCCTGGCTTCCAAGACATACACTTTCTGTACATCCTTGAGTACAAGAGATTTTGAGGGAGCCAGCAGGTTTTCTCACTTCACTTCCTCTAAGAAATTCCTGTTCACTTTTATGTTCCTCTTAGCCATTAGTCTCTTAGTCATTCCTCTCTAGAGAACAATCCAGGTTTAAACATTGAAATACTGAGAAAATCCATCTCTGTATTTTGAGATTCTGGGCCATTTTCCACTTGTAACTGGTGCCTTTCTTCAGATAAGAAATAGCTTTAGCTCTCATCTTCTCAGTGAGATTAATAAGGAGTTGAGTGACGTCTGGGGATTATCTGGGCTTTCCAAATGAGTTTGAGTTTCACTCTTTGTGTTGATCTTTCAAAATAATTAGGAAGCTACTTTCCTTGCTTCTGTGTTAGAAACAGAGACCAAATTTAATAAGAATTTCATTTTCTAAGGAAAGTGCTCCCCTGGGAAAAGGCAAGAGATCAGAAGGCAACAGAAATGAATTGCTAAGTGGTAAATAATTTACAATTTGCTCCTTTGTGCAGTACCAATGCAGAACTCAATATTTCTGGCTGTCACAGTACTTGGCACATTTTTAGATGTACAATTCTAGGAATAATGTGGTTTTCAGAAACTAGGGGTCTTCATTAATATATATATATATTTATTTATTGTCTTGGTGGTCAGGAATTAAATTATGGCGGCATGAACAAAAGCATAGAAATGCCTATAATCAGACAAAAATACGTAATAACTTTGAGACTATATTTGAAACATTTATTAGATAGTTTTCTTTCTGAATGAATAGAGTTGGCCAAATTTTGTTACAGAATATTACGGGAAATAACGACTTCTGTCTCAGTTTTATTTTAATAAAAGACCTTAACAATTATCCAGGAGAGAAGATTCGGTAGTTATAAAATAGCCAAAAATGCATTTGCTGGATGACTGTAAATCACAAGCTAGATTTTACTTGAGAATTGAATAAACAAAATAAATTAATGATGTCACAGTTAAACAGTATGCAAAACTGTACATCTCCATTAGTAAGCAAACTGTATTGGAAAGACAGAGATGCTATGATAACTGATAGTGCTTTGATAAAGACAACAAGAAAAAAAGTAGAACATTAGCACTGTTAAAATGTCCCTAGTGCTTTTGCTATATAATTATTGGACTTCTCACTCTTAATTGCCTTTTAAATTAAGAGAAATTGTTCTGCCTTAAACAGGAAAACCAAACATGTGCAGTGACCTATTTGTTCTGCGGCCAATGCATTACAAAGATAACTGCATCCCACAGCATGAGTATCTTCTGGATACTAAGTAATATTATATCTTTAGCAGAATTTAGCTCTTTCATTAAACAATAAGGAGACTAAAATCCACAAAATCTTGTGCCCTAAGCACAAGACCTGCTCTATTGGAGGTTCCCCAAAGGCCTCTTCCCTCTCCATACTTGAGAATGGCCAAGACACCCAAGTCAAAATCATCTCTGAATAGCAATGGAAGTCATAAATATTGCCAATGACAGCAAAATCCATCTGATTAAATGAAATTAACATTATGAACGATTCTGTTGTGTGCTGTATAAATGACCACGTGACAAGCACAGTGTCAATAGATTGCTGTTTAAAGTGCTGCATGAACATTGTGTTGGCCTTTGATACTGAGATGAATTTTTCTCTGAGCCTTTAAGAGATCAATTTTATTACTTTTGTAAACCAGGAGAGCTTTTGTTCTGTCCACTGTCAAACCAGTGGACATCCAGAACCTGAAAATCCCATTGGAGCTGCTGAGTGGCCCCCGCTGCCCTATGGGGCCTCTGCATGCAGTAGGGAATGGGAGAGAATGGGGATCAGTTCCTGGAAGCATTCAAGGTCAGGCTGGATATGGCTCTGGGCAGCCTGATCTGGTGGTTGGCGACCCCGTACATAGCAGGGGAGTTGAAACTAGATGATCATTGTGGTCCTTTTCAACCCAGGACATTCTATGTTACACGTTATCAGCTGAGCTGGGCAAATAGCAGATTCAAAATCGATCCATTTTTTTCCCTGTTCTGTTTATAGTCTGATCCTTTGGGCCACATTCAGATCATAACGAGGCTAGGATAGATATGACTGATGTCAGTGATTCCTTTTTGACTGGGACTTTTCTAATAGAGTTAGGTTGGCTCTGTGTATGAATAGACGAGAAATGTGAAACCATGCAGGCATAATTTGTAACTAAAATATGAAAAAATAAGAAATAGAAGGATTTATATTTGTATTACATATACATAGGCAGTATTTAAACATATTGTCATTCTGCAGACATATTCCATGAGTTAAAAAACAAATTTGATATATACTTAAAATTGCAGAGTTACCTGGTTCTTGCAGATACTCATAGTCATATCCCAGCTCCCTTGATGATATAAAAAATTCTCCATTTCTGTAGAGAGGGATAAAGGGAACCATATAATTTTCTCGATTGTGCCCAATGGGTGCATTGGCTGCTGGGTAAACTTCTAGCATGGGTCTGTGTCTTCTTAACCATCGCTCAAAAATGCTGTAAAAGAAAAAGCGTGTCTGTTAATGGAGGAGACTGGCAGAAATTTTCCTTTTGAAGATAAAAAGGAAAAAAGTCGATCCTTTTTCCTCTTGAACTCTAGAGACAAAGTGGAATTCAATTACTTGTGTTTGTATATATTATACTTTCCAAGTAGTTTGGGGTTAGCTTCTTCAGTACTGAATTCTTGTGCAAGCATATGAAAAGCGAAAGACTTCAGGGCTGCAGAAGGGCTTTTAAATTCCACAAATGCAAAACTGTGTCACTATGACCTGACTGAAGTTTTTGCTCAGTAATTTGCAAGATTGTGAGATATAAAGAGCAGGACTAAAGACCTCAGCCCTTCCTTGTCACTCACATTCATGGCTATTTTTGGGTGGTTTGTCCCCCGCTGCTACGTCCCACTATCCTTCCCTTTTCCCTCCGCTGTAACTAGAGGCTTTCACTCCTGCATTAAGGTATGAATATACCCTGGCTGATGTAACACCACAAAGAGGATGGAAATATCTTAGGAAGAAAGGATAGGCAATATGAAAACCAAAAGCTTGATAAAGTAGATAAGCAGTCAGGAAAGAAGCTTTCTCCAGCTGTGGGTATCATCAGCACCTCTGACCTCAGCTGCACTTTTCCATTTATCTCTGCCAATGGTTCATCTGTTTAGCTGTCTTCTAATACAGTTCTGAATATTTTAAAAAGGAGGGAGAAAGCTCAAATACTGCATGATAGGGACAGAACAGTTTATGTTGGCATTTTCAAGTGAACTGCTGGATATATTTGGAAAGCAAAATCAACAGCCCTCCAAAACATTCTCAGATCTCCTTTTCTGCCTGAGCTTTGTCTTCTCAATTCTCCACCTTGTTTCAATCCTCAGATCCTCTTAGTTTCATCTGGAATTGTTTTTCTCAGAGTATCTGGTATGATGCTATGTTTTGGTTCTAGGAAAAAATCAGCATTAATAATGCACCAATGTTTATAATTGCTGCTAAGCAGTGTTGTACAGAGCCAAGGCTGTCCTCAGCGAAGAGCACAAGGAGCTGGAAGGGAACAGAATCAGGACAGCTGACTTAAACTGGCCAAAGGGATATTCCAGACCATATGGTATCATAAGGGAGGAGTTTTGAAGGGGGTGAGAGTTCATCTTGCTCTCTTCCACTGCTCAGAGGGCTAGCTGTGCATCAGTTGAAGGATGGTGAGCAATTGCTTGTGCATCACTTGTTATATACATTCATATATAAAAATATATACATGTATATAGTTGTCATAATTACTATCATTTTCTCTATTTCTACTCTTACTGTTCCCCATGGCTGACCACTGCCTGGAGGGCATAGACTTTCCTCCCATCTTGTAAGTAGTAATTGGCTGTACAGGGGCTCAAGTTATTTTCAAAACACAGAACCTGAATGCAATCTCTGTGGAGCATCTGAGAACTCTGCAGGTAGAATTTTACCTCCTTTCACTGGGCAGAAACGTTGAGAAACACTATGTTTATCCCACCAAAATTAATGCCCTCTCTTCATCATTAAAACAGAGATTGGGCCAGAAATTTGGTTCTTTATTAAGATCAAAAGATTTAGTAAATGAAAGTGCCTCTATGTTCATCCACCTTGTCAACCTTTAACAATGCAGATTGATTAAAATCTTCATTTGTAGCTCTCATCTTCAGTTAAATTTCATCAGCTCTGTCTAGAAAAACTCTTGTCAGAATAATAATATTCAGCAAAGTTTTCAGATAGATGAACTTAAACAGTGATATCAAGGCTTCAGCTGCAGTTATCATGAGAATTTTTGAACAGAAAGTCTGTAACCTCATTACATGTTTGGAGAATGTCACAGAGAAATTCAGTAATCATTTAAAAAGGCAAAGAATATAAAGGAAATCAGGCCATTAGTTTAGCCTGGGGGGAAGTAGGGCACGGGACTGCCATCCTTATACTGTCTGCCTTATGCTTCTGCTTTGGTAAAGGCACCCTCACTATCCTCACTATCAATGCATTTTTTCCTAGCAGTTGTGGGAAAAAAGCTGTGTCTCAGCTAGATGGGAGGCAAGACAGCTCTTCTCTGCATCACAGGACTAGTAGAGGCATAGATGTGGTTTGAATGTGGGGACACAGAAATATATTTTTTATATATATTAATATTTTAAGATGATGGCAGAGAGAGAACTTCGTTCATACTTTCAATGTCTCATCATTATCCATGCCCTAACTTTTGAATGCCCAGTCTAAAGTACTTCTTGGGGTCTGCTTTTTTGAAAATGCTGAGCAGTCACATTTTGAAAATCTGGAGAATTGATGAGCACACAGTTCAGTGCTAGAAGTTGTCATTCTCCTGAAATAACTCTGTATGACATTCCCTGAAATGCAGCATTCTCTCTGGATGACTTAAATGTTGCAATTTCATAAGCAGTTTCAAGAATTCTTAGGCCAGTAATCTTTTAAATAGAATGCAAATGCAAAGCATTTCCATGGAAATGAACGCATATGCTTTGGAATCCTTCATTTGCAGCATGGCTCCCACATTAAATAGCAAGCTTCTCTTAGCTGTAGCAGGAACACTGAATTACTGATTCTTACAGCTGATTTTTAGATTCAGAATGCAATCATGTATCTCCAATTACTAATATGTTGAGTTGTGTTGATGCACAAGCATGTTGGACAATTCACTGAGCTGTTTATGAACAGTGACATTTCATGATTCCCAGACTGATGCTGTTAACTGTTTTCATGCATTTTTAAGGAAAACTGGAGTCTTGGTGTAGACTAATGCTTCTGCCATTGGTTAGGCACAGTGCCCCTATGTCCTGGGGTTTGTTTTAACTGAAAGGCCTTTGGGATTCTACAACTATATGTAAAGTAAAACAATGACCGGTCTTCTGTTTCAGGACCCCTGAATTTTGTACATCCTGGGTAAAGAACATTTGGTCATCAGATGTTGTTCCACTTTTTATGGACAGAAGGTTTTGTTTTCTTCCCTTAAAACTGCTGTGTTGTAGAATATTTTCTTACACCCTGAAAACATATGCTCATTTTGCATGTTTCATTCAGTAGCTGCAAACTTGGAAGAGCTTAGGGCTGCAGAAGGAAATCCTCATGCAGAGAGACAAAGTGCTGATATAATTAGCTGGTCCCTTTGTGAGGTGATGATGTAAAAACCAGGTTAGTGGCAGAGTAGCAGATCTGAACTCCTTAGATTTCTTGATTATCTTGGCAAAACTACTGCTTATCAACCTCTTCACACTCCTTTGCCTCCGAGAGCTTAACAAAGCAATAAAATGAAAACTGAAAGGCCATTTTATTCTACATCATTTCCATTGCTTGTCATTATGAAAATAATGGTACCAAAAAGAAAGCTAACGAGTCAGGGGTCTGTGATATCCAATCTTCATATTTTTTCAACTCCCAAAAATGTAATGGACAGAAGTTCAGTTAGGGGAAAGTCTGTCCAACTTCTATAACAGTCTGTTTGGCTACTTTCCTCCTCAGCATGTAGACACAGAGGACAAGCAGATAATTAGTTAGTTGCACAGGTCACAGTGGCATTCTCCAGACACGGAGACATTTTTAGCATTGCATTCCCAGCTAGATTGGCATCATTTGGGAGATTCTGGCAGTGCTGAAAAGAACAGATGGGATGAGAGAGTGGCGGGATGTACAAAGCGGGTTAAAGGAAAGAAGAACGTCTAAAGCAATTGGGAATTTTATTCAGAGAATGGAAATTAGGAGGACCAAACCTGGGATCCAAACCTGGAGATAAATCATAAATCCTCACTAGCATGTAGAGAAGGGAGAGGGAAAGAAAACGAAGTTTCTGTATGGAATACATGGGTTATCATCTCTTTATCTACAGGAAATGGAAGAAGAAACAAATACATGGGCCTTTCCTAGGCACTGTGCAAAGAAATATCTTTTTATCTAAGTCAATTAACTTATTTCAATCTTATTTGAAAGCACTCAGAGCTTGAGCTTGAGTCACAAAAAGAGTGAGCAAATTGAGCAGAATGGACTCTCCTTCTTGCACTGAATCATAGAAGGGCTTTGACTGGAAGAGACCTGAAAGATCATTCCATTCCAACCCTCTGCTGTGGGCAGGGCTTTCCCCCACTAAATCAGACTGCCCAGGGCCCCATCCAGCCTGGCCTTGAGCAAGTCTAAAGATGGGGTATCCACAACTTTTCTTAGTAGTCTGTGCCTGTGCTTCACCACCAATGAGTAAATAATTTCCTCCTAATATCTAATATAAATCTTTCCTCTTTTAGTTTAACAGTTTTCTGTTGGTCTATCCCTGTCAGACCGTGTAAAAAGTCAGTCTCTTTCCAGTTTGTAACTCCCATAAGTACTGGAAGACATAAATGAGGTCTCCCTGAAGCCTTCTCTTCTCCAGGCTGAACAGTCCCAGCTCTCTTCTTTGTAGGACAGGAGCTCCAGCCCTCTGATATAAAAATGGTATCTTTAACTCTTAGTTTCATCTTTCCCAAGTTGCATATTCCCCAACCCACTTGAACCACTGTGGCTTGTGGATCAAGCAAATTCCCTTCACTTTATACATCTTGGTGGCTTACTAAAGGGCAGTTTGCTCGTGCAACATGTAAGAATCTCCTGTAATGGCAGGGAATGAGGGTGACAGCTCTTATTTAGAAGGGTCATGGGCAATCAGGATTTAGGAAATAGAAATTTAAAATATGGAAATGAACTAACTGGAATGGAAATCAATCTTGTGATAACCTTAATGCCCTTCGCATGTCTTCAGTGGCAAGCAAAAGTAACTTGGTATAGTAGCTTTTATTTAAAGGCTTTAGAAATAACTGTATGTAGATTGCAGCAAAGACTATTCCTATCTGGAACGCTGCTCCCTTCTATTGAGGAAATCAAAGTGCCCAATTTGCATGTCCAAAAAGGTTAAGGAATAAAAAGGGATAGAAAAATAATATGAATTTTGAAAGAGGTTCTATTTCATGTTCAAAGCCCAAAGAGGCTCTGTCTCTCTGTACTGCATTTCCA